CTGGCCTTGTCTTTGTACATTCATGTACTCATATTTGATTCTTAAAATCCTTTGTATGAACCCTTTACTATTACAGTAGATTACTTACATTCTAGTTTCCCCTTGACATCACTGTTACACAAGCACACAATTCCAGCTTTGAAGGAAAGAACTCTGATACGTCCATTGCGACCACTAAGGAGACAGGAAGGAATGGGAGCCAATTACATAGTTAACATTTTGCATGAGGTGGTATTATAAAAGATGACATAGGATTAGGGTTCTCCCAACAAGGGGGCTCCTGGGTGTTGGGGGGTGGCCACAGCCTCCCAGGTTGCTAAGACTTCTTGACAACCTGTGACACTCTATGCGGCTCTCCGCACCAGGGCAGCTCCTCTTGGATATGTTGGCTATATCTCTTTGGAGGAATGTTGTGGGTACCCATTGGAGGGCAGCCCAGTTTGTACGTGAGCTACCTATCCAGAGCCAGTTAACTCAACAAATTGTTTTTTTCCCCTTCAGTGCTTTGTATGAATAAGTATTGAAGTCCCATCTCCTCTTGGATATGTTGGCTATATCTCTTTGGAACTTAAACCAAAAGGCAGATATAAGCTGCAGGTACCGAGAGTTGCCTTCATACTGTATACCTCTAAGCAGCTTTCATTGCTCTCTTGATGCCCAAATGCCAAAAACAGGGGGCAAAGCTCCAACAGCTTTTTAAGTGACAGTTACTTTAAGGGTAAACTATGTATTGCTCTTCTTGTTATCATCATAAAATGAAGTCTTATTTAAACACATACCCATCAAAGACGTTTAGTAACCAGTTGAGGGCTAGGTCCACACACAAGGGGACGTTGACCAACAGTCCACGCTCTTCTTCCAAGCGCTCATATAGAGAGCTCAGGCAGCGAATGACATCGAGTACGTCAAGGGAGCGCTCCGGAGATTGCAGGATGTCGCAGCTGAATATCTGAGAGACTAGGGGCAGCGTGACCAAGTCCACTGGGGGAAGACGGATGAAGGAAGAAAGGGAAAAAGGAGGGTGACGTTGGAAAATGCGGATTGAATGGTTACATTGAAGAGAAATAAAAAAAACAGCAAGATGAAAACAAAAAAGTAATATAGAATGAATGAAATACAGTAGCAACAAAGTAGACGCATTGAATAATAAAGTTGGGAAGGAAATTTAAAACATTTAATAGTCTAGTACATATGGAAATGGGAACAAGAGGCGCAGAGATGCAACAAGAGTGGACAGGTCCCAAAATCGGCTCCTATTGGAATCCAACTCCAAAAATCCAACCATCTATAGCACTTAATACTTACATCTCAGAGCCTTTTGCACTCTGCGCAGTTTCATTGCCGTCCGGTATGCAGAGAACTTTATGTTGTTCAGATCTCCTGAAAAATGTCAAAGAAGACCAAAGTCCACTTTAAAAGCATTGGTTTATTGTATCATGAAATATACCTATCCCTTTAAATTTGTATCACCTTTGACCATCCATACAGAATCAATCTTTTGACCCGTTCCCAAGCGCAACCTGTAGATCAAAGTTCATAAGTATGGTGCCCCATGCTGAGAGGACATCAATCCAAATTGGTTTGTAGCTAAGAGTGCGCACATGGCAACCTTCGAGTTCTTCTAGGGGTGTCTTCAAGTTTTTGCACTTGAGTCATGTGTTTCTATGGTGCAGGTGAACCAACCACCATCACCATGCAAACATGGAAGCTACTCCAGGGCTGGCAGTATCCAGGATGACCCCCAGCATTCAGCTGCACTCTGGTGAAGATGATAACATAGGGCTCTGATGGGAAGTAGGGACTGAGGGCTCTGATGGGAAGTAGGGACTGAGGGCTCTGATGGGAAGTAGGGACTGAGGGCTCTGATGGGAAGGGGGCTCCTGATTGGAAAAACAGGAAATCCTGGTCATTTACCTTTTTTTTTTTTTTCATGGGGACCCTCTTAAAATCCATACTAGACACCTAACTAGGATAAGGGTCTGATATAGATATTGGGGGAACCACACATCATTTTTAAAATTTTTGGGTCTTTTTATTATTGTAGACTGGGGGTACCTCGAGATTTTGCATACTTTTAAAGGGCGCCGTGACTGAAAAAAGTTTGAGAAACGCTGGCCTAGAAAACAACGAAACAATGATTTAGGTCAGACAATAAGTCCTGGTAGTCTATTTATAAATGTTTTCAAACAAGATTCACACAACTTTCTCCCAAGATTCATACATTTTTCCAATGGAAGCCAATTAGAAAAATGTTGTAGATCCTGGGGGAAAGTTGTGGAAATCTTGTGTGAAAAACCAATAGACCAGAGGTAGCAAAAACTCATCATGCATCTGCCTCTGGGATTCATGCCTGTGGCTGTCAGAGTCTTGCAATGCCTCATGGGATTTGTAGTTTTGCCGCAGCTGGAGTGCCGATGTTTGGCTACTCTTGCTATATACTATACATACTACCCTTGCCCTTGCTATAGACATGACATCCAATTAAACCAGGCATAGTGACTCTGGTATATTTAGTGTAGGCTCAATGATTATTGGTCAGAAAAGTTAAAGAGATGCATGGCTTTCCAGGCATGAGTAATAGACAATAGTAGTGTGTGTGCGGCCAGGGGTGTCCCTAGCAAAATCACGTTCCAGGAGGGGAGGGTTTTGATGGGGTCCTGGTGGTGCAATGACCAGCTCTGGTCGGCATCCTTCCAAGCTCACTGACGTCACTGGTTGCCAGGAGTTGGGCAGCATGCCGGCCAGAGCATCGTAGGTTTCTAAGACCTAGGAGAAGAGAAGTGTATGGCCACTACACATCCGCCCACCCGGCTCTTAGCAACCTAGGACGCTCTGGCCGGAAAAGTGGTGGCAGGATCCCCCTGATGCCCTCCCTCTCCTCATCCTAAGAGCTGGGAGAAGAGAAGTTTATTGACCTTACATATCTCCCCACCCGGCTCTTAGCAACCTGGGACGCTCTGCCCGGCATCCTTCAAAGCTCACTGACGTCACTGGTTGCCAGGAGCTGGGCGGCATGCCAGCCAGAGCATTCTAGGTTTCTAAGAGCTGGGAGAAGAGAAGTGGCCCTTACACATCTCCCCACCCGGCTCTTAGCAACCTGGGACACTCTGGCCGGAATAGTGGTGGCAGGATCCCCCTGCTGCCCTCCCTCCACCACGTGACCCAAAGAGATGCTGCCTCAGGCTAACTCATTGTAGGGAGGACCCTGTGTACAGCTGGTATCATTATTTACTTACCCAGTGCCTGGTACAGTTCTGTCATTTTTGGATGATCCCAGCACGTTGTCTGTGCCTGATGACTAGAGAAGAAAAAAAATAACATGAAGACGAGACAAGAGATAAGTCATCTTCCGTGTTTAGAAGGAACACCAGATTGCAAAGGAGATCTGGGTCACTCTGAAGACTCAGGGAGAAGACCTGGGTACCTCCTCACAAATCTCTAAGGATATATACAGGGCCGGATTTCCCACAAGGCCAACCAAGGCCCGGCCTCGGGGCAGCAGGGAGTAGAGGGGCAGAAGGGGTGTGGAACTCCTATCTCCTGACGCCCGGGACACGCAGTTCCCGGTCGCCGGGCAGGTAGTTGTTTAATACATTTAGCCCTGCTTTGGGCAAATAGAGCTAAATGTACAGCGAGGAAGCAGGCGCTTGTTTTATACAAGTGATCTCGGCGATGTATGCAGCCTGCAGGTCTCCCATTCTCCATGACGCCTGCCGGTCTCCCCTTCCCCGTGGGGGGGGGGGGGGGGGGTTAGGCGGGTAGGGGGACGCATTGAGGAACCTGGCCTTGGGGCAGCAGAGGGAGTAAATCCAGCCCTGGATATATACAATACAAAATGACACAAGCACCTGACGCAACATTAACAATTCCTCACTCTATCCAACGCTAAAGGAAAAAGGAGCCGAAAGAACATGTTTTGACTTCATATATTGTAGACTTTAGGTTCTACTTTAAACCAAACACTGGTATCATTAAAGGAGAACTATGGGGTCAGTGTTTTTCCCCATAGTTCTCCTTGGGGTAACGGGAGGACACCAACTAGCGTCCTCCCGTTACCCTAAGCTCAGTATATAGGGAGCTACAGCTCGCGGTATACTGAGACGCCGCACCTGGAGCGGATCCCGACTTAGATGACGGGATCCGCCCAGCTGCGTGAGTGACAGCTGGCTCTGCCTATCTAGAGGCAGAGCCAGCTGTACCCGCCCCCTCCCCCGTCCCTTCCGTCAGTCAGCGCTGGATCGGAGCGGGGAGAGGGCAATCCAGCCCCTCCCCTGTCACGGCAGAGAGCCGTGACAGGATCGAGAGGTGAGCGAACGCCGGTATGTGTTCTCTCACCTCCCGATCTACTGAGACCGACCTGTGACAGTCTCATTGTCACAGGTCGGCTTAGAACTATGAGGTGAGTGGAAATCACTCATGTCATAGTTCTCCTTTAAAAGGCGAGGAAATCCCTTAACAAAGAGAAATGCCAATGCGTGTTACTCACTTGATGTAATACGGCACCTTGTTGGGGGATATCGCTCTTTCCCAAGGGACCTGTACTGATGCTAAAATAGAAATAAAAAAAAAAGATTTATTTATAACTACAGACTATGTTTATGAATGATATCTATCTTGTATTTTTCTAACTAATATCTTTGTGTGTTTTAGCATCTGCTTTCTATGGCTCGCCTGACCGGTAATTGCTACCTATAGAGTTGCTGAAAGGGCAGGTTTACATTTACACATTCTATGATCAAGGGGGTTGTTCAGTTAGGTGCCAAACGCAGCCGAGTGATTGACCGAGCCGAAGTGAAGTGAGCCGAACACTGTGCAGCTATTCACTTCAGCCTTCTACGGCTGATTTCAGCCATACATAAGCTAAAATCAGCCGTACATCGGCTGCCTTCGGTCAGCCGAACATGCTCTGTACGTTCGGCTGAGCTGAAGTGCAGAAGGAGTTCAACTCCAGATGTTGGATCGGCTGAGCCGAAGCTCCGGCAGCTCATTCGCCCCTATTCTCTTAGGGGTTGAACGGCAGTAAGTGAAGAGCCGAATGCCGCCGAGTGGCATTCGGCTCGGCTATTCTGCTCGGTACCTCTGAGGTAGCGAGCAGAATATAAAAAAAAAGTTAAATGAATTGAAAAAAGATGTTGAAAAATTATTTAAAAATTTAAAAAAATAGGGAAAAGAAAAACAATTGGGTGGAGCTAGCAGTGACAGCGTCTTCTAGCAGGTCCCGGCCAATAAATAACAACTGGGCGGAGCCGGCTCCACCCAGTTGTTATTGTTTAATGACAGATCAGCGTCCCCAGGTCATTTGGACCT